GCGTCATTCTCTCCTTGCAGGCTGCATATGATATCATAGCTGTCACCGTCTCTCTGTACATATATATACCGACGTTGGCGTCGATGAATCCAAGTTCCCTCTTGCACTCAAACTCCCACATTCCCTCTCTCGCGCAAACCGATCAAGTCATTAGTCTGTCGCAGGTAAGTGTTGAACTTGGCAGACGGATATTACGAGAAAATACGCGCATAGTCATTCGGACTAGCCTCGGGACTCATTCGCTCGGGCATCGTCATTCGGACGTGCATATCGTGACATATCCGGGATTAGACGTCGGACATACTATTGAAGTCATTGATCGTTATCGTTTACGTTCAATTGATCGTGGACTCGTTACGCATATAGTCAGACATTGTGGCCAAATAACATTTTATTACTTTGCAGCTAGCCTCCAACGTCTTCATCACCTTTCAACCATCTTCGAACGTCGACTGTAGACGAAGCTCCCACAAGTGGTGACCACCGCAGGGGGTAAGTAAAGGGGTTTTCCGTAAAGGTTGACATTCTGGCTAGGTCGTCGACAACTTCGATTCCAATCCCGACGGCGCAAGGCGGACGCAGGCGTTTGGAAGTTCGACCATCAGATCGGCAAACTCGGTCGATGACAGCATCGCAACCAAGTTCCCCTAGTCGACCACGATCAAACACGAACACGAATCCGCCCACAGACGCAACTGTCTTGGCTCTACAGAACGCGCAACGGTTATTAGCAACAAGAATGACGACGGTGGCTCCAGTTCCGATGCCGGCTCCGGGGTCTAGACGCGCGCCGAGGTTTAAAGGTAAAGAGTTAGAGGCGTTCTTAGTTGACTTCGAGAAATTAGCGAAACGTGCCGGACTTAAGGACGATGACTTACCAACAGAGGTATTGTCGTACTGCTCCACGTCAGTTCGGGAGCTGCTTCGGCGTAATGCGAAATTTAAAGGTAAGGACTGGGATGAGGCTAAAAAGGCGATGCGTTTGTTTTATAGGGACAAAAGTGAAGAACAGGTGACGGTGGTAGGTTTGAGAGATTTTGCTGAACGAATGCGCAGGAAGAATAAAGTGAATACGAGCCGGGCATTGGACGAGTATGCAATAGCGTTCGGTAAGCGTATGGGCGACCTAGTTGCTCAAGGACAGATGCCCGATAAAGAGCGCGACGTCTTATTCTTCAGAGGCCTGGGGAAGGACATTCGCACGGCCATTCGCCCAGAGCTAAGGCAGCTGAAGGGTAAGAAACCGCTTGTCTTGGATCCTCCGACTATGGAGGAAGTATTGAAGGAAGCGCAAGACCATTTCAATGTTCTGGATATAGACTATGATCCGGAGTCGGAGGATGATGATTCGGGGAGTGATACAGATGATAACGACAGTGAGTTGTCTGGTAATGAGTCTAATTCGTCTGGCGTGTCAGATAGCAAAGGCAAAGACAAGAAAAGGGCTGGAAAGGTCTTACAGGTGAAGACGGTGAAGACGAGGGCAACAACGCCCGACTCAGGTGTGCTGGCATTGGAAGGTGTCGCTCGGTTAGCCGAGCAGGTACGCAAATTGACCTTGACGATGGGGCAGTCACAAGGTGCGTCGAGTACGGTGAATTCTGGACTGACGAATATGCCATCCAGTTTTTCGGAAGGCGGACGGTTCTGTTGGGGGTGTGGTAAGAAAGAGGGTATTGACTTAGACCATGCGTTGAACATCAAGAGATGCCCGCAGACGCTGGACTTAATGCGTGAAGGTTTGGTGAGGTTCTCACAAGAGACAGGACGACTGGTTAGAGCCGACGGGTCACAGCTGCCGCCATCGAACGGGATGCCTGGTGGTTTTGCAGCTATTCTGCGTCGGGAACAATGTGTCACGAGTTGGCACGGCGCCTAGCCGTTTTTTAATTTTTTCCTTTTCGCGGGTTCGAACCCGCGACCTCTGTACTACTTGCCTGATACGGACGCATCATATCTACTGTACGATTAGATTAGATGGGGCGGCAGCGCACGGCACAGCTCGGGCCCCGCTGACACAGCCGCTCTGACTCACCGGCCCCCGGGGCCGCGTCGGCATGCTGCGCACAGACCAGCTGCGCACGGACCAACGTGCACAGCCTGCCCTAATCTCCCCATGTATATAAGCCGGCCTCTGCTGCCCTAGGGACCTCAGTTTCGACCTCTTGTCCCTAGGTCAGTAAGCCCTCAGTTGTATTCTCTCTTACCCTACTAACTAATACATTTACTTGTCCCTAGCCTTAGGTTTGAGCCTCGCTCACCATCGCTTCGGTGAGAACCAGTCGGACGCCCCTCGCTTCTAGATATTTCCCTGTCGCTTGACCTCAAGTCGCGACATTAGGTCGAAACTCTCCCAAGCGACCGGCGTTCTCTCAGAACCCACACACTCACACTTTCCTTTCCCATAGGTCGGGAGGTGCGCACCCTTACGATACCATACGATACGTAGATAGCCTACATTACATCGCCAACACTCAGGGAACGAACCTTTCAGCACCTGCACTTCAGTGGGCGGTGCTTGTCCTTAACCGGACGCGTGGACTAGGTTCCTGCTGCATACTAGCCAAAAGCAGTACTGAGCCCCACGTGAATCGCGAA